AACAAATTGTTAGCCCTGGGGCATCAACCACCTTTAGCATGTATCCCATTGCTTGCTTCATTTCATTTAGATACGTATAGGCTAATTTTTTCATTCTTAAAAGAATCTAATTTAAATTTATGATGTGCTCTAGATTCCTACATTTCTCCGTTCCACCATCCTTACCTATCAAGTTTATTCCTCTCAAATCAATTCCATCACAATACCTGGAAGTCTACATTGCCTCTGGAAGAAACTGTTTCGAAGAGGGTCATTTTGGGGTGTAGAGATCCTGGGATAAAACATCCAGGACCTTAGTTCCCAACTACAAGCATATGGTCACATGGACTAGATTCCAAGCACCAAGGTTGACAATACCGAACTTAGAAAGAAGAAGAAGAAGAAGCTATTTAAACATCGTCCGAGCCTACCATTTATGTAGGTGAATAATCTTAGCAATATGATAATATGATTGATGATATTATACTTGATTACTTTGATTTTGTTATATTATTTATATTGTTTAGATGTGCGACACTTATGTATGTCTGGATTGTATATGTGGGTTTTTAAGGTTTTACCTTAATAACTTAAATCTATGATACTTTTCAAATACAAATGTTTTTATTTATATTATTAATGTACAGTAGCAATAATATTAACTCTTGTATTAAATGTTTTTATTAATAAACTTATTTTAATTTGCTACTTTTTCTTTGCTTTTTAAATGAGTCATTCCAAATAAAAACACCAAATGGGGTGCGCTGCGTGATTTTTTATTTTGATGAAAAAATTTGAGGATGATCTTATGGTGTCAAATATGAAAATCCGTTGCCGTTTTAATTTTTTGTTGCTTTACTTTTATTTGGCACCCCTTAGAAGTCTGAAATAGTGTCAATTTCTTACTCTCTTATAGTGGGCCAGAACTTTTTTCTGTGACAAATATTGAAATAATTTTAATTTTGTTATACTGTCCAGTAAGTGTGTTTTCGATATAAATTATTTTTATACAATTAGTTAATCTAATAAAAGAATGGTAAACCACTAAAGATTCATGATAATTTGCCAATTTTTGTGATTTTTGTCTGGCTCCTGTGCCTATTCTACTGAATTTATAAGGTTCATTTTTTTCAGGTATAAAGTACTTATACAATAGAAAACGTAACTAATATTTTAAGTTTCTAGTATATATAACATAATATGTAATATTATGTTATATATAAAACTTTTTAAAATCACCAAAGGAATACCACAAATAATAATTATGAAATATTTTTGAGAGTTTTGATATTTTTGGTAGTTATGTTATATTTTATGTATTGAAAAATCATATATATACTAACTGACAAAGAAATTGCAACACCCAGAAGAAGGTGCTCGATTTAAATAATTTTTTGATCAAATATATGTACTATATCAAGGAGTAAACGATTAGAATTTGGAGAAAAAATACCAAGGATTTTCAAAGTTTTTTTATTAATTTAGTTAATAATGTGTTGGTCCACCGTGATTATCTACACACTCCCTAACACGCCTTGGCATTGATTGAATGAGGTGGTCTATTTCTTCTTGAGGTATAGTATCCCAAGCTACCTGTACTTCATGTCTTAGAGCCTCCAAAGTCCTTGGGGGCTGAGGTAGATTTCCTAGCCTTCTACCCATCACATCCCAAACATGTTCTATGGGCGAAAGGTCGGGAGATCTGGCTGGCCATGGCATTAGATTCACGTGAGCCTCTTCAAAAAAGTTCAAACTAACTCTGGCAACATGAGGCCGCGCATTATCTTGTTGAAATATTGGATCCACAAGCCGATTAAGATAAGGGAGAACATACGGCTCCACTACTTCCCGAAGATAACGTTGCGCTGTCATGTTGCCTCTAATAAAGACTAGAGGTGACCTACTTCCATGAGCAATAGCACCCCATACCATAACGCCTACTGTTCGGTGTACATGACGCTCAACATCAAACTGAGGTTGACGTCTTTCTCCCCGACGTCGTCTGACCCTTCTTCGGCCGTCATGTCCATCTAAGCAGAATCGGGATTCATCAGAGAAGACCACTTGATGCCATTCCACGTTCCAATGTTGTCGTTCTGTACACCACTGTAGTCGTTGCCGTCGATGCACAGCGGTCAGAGGTAGCACAAGATGGGGCCGATAGTGCTGCAGTCCAAAAGACCTTATACGGCGGTAAACCGTTCGAACACTTAAAAGTCGGCCTTGTTCTCCTAACCACTCATCAGCCAAAGAACGAGTTGTCGAAAATCGGTCTCTGAAGGCCATAAGTCTTAGACGTCGATCTTGAACTTCATTTGTGCGCCTTCGACGTCCAGTGCCTACTCTTCTCCGGTTTTGGGCATTATCAAACCACGCTTGACAACATCTCATTACAGTAGTTGGATTTCTGTTAGTGCGGTTGCCGATTTCACGAAATGAAAAACCCGCCTCCCGTAGACCAATAATTCGGCCTTTCAAATTCACTCAGTTGGCGATAAATTCCGCGTACTCGTGCTCTAGGCATTTTAACATTACTAAAACACCCAACTTAACAGTAAAAAATTTTTAAATCGAAAAAAAAAACCGCAAAAAACTAGACTAAAAAAATTTCTTTGAATCGTGAAAAAAATTGTTTACATGAGAACGACTGCATATTTCTTTACCAAATTTTAATGGTTTACTCCTAGCTGTAGTACATATATTTGACCAAATAATTATTTAAATTGGACACCTCCTTCTGGGTGTTGCAATTTCTATGTCAGTTAGTATATATATATATATACATTATACATATATATATATATATATATATATATATACATTATACATATATATATATATATATATATATATATATACATTATAATGAAGTATTTAATTGGCTAATTGGTGTTTAAAGAAGAAGAATGTAAAAAATATATTTAAGATCCTTATGGTTTATATCTTTAAGTATAATAAGTGAAATTAATAAAGAGTTAATTTATAAAAATGCGTTAAGCAGTTTTTTGTCGGTTTCTTTCACAATTTAAACCAAGTTAGTCTTGTTCTATTATTTTGATCCCTTTAGTAAGGCACTAAATAGTTAAAAGTTAAATGTATGTATTTTAAATGTTAGTGTTGGAAAAAATTTACACAATCTGTAAATACTTCTTTAAATTTTAGTTTTTAGGTAACTGGTTAAAATAAAACATGTTATAATAAAGGGGTTTATTTAGAATATTTTTTGGTTTTTGCTTATTTTTAACAATTTCAAACTTCTCAGAACTTAAATATTGTCTATAAGAAAGAGGTACAAAATTATGATATGTTCTTGCATTTTTAATTGCAATTAAATTCATGAATCTCGAACACTCCGTCATTTATTACACTAGCAAACTTGAAAACTTTTTGAAATCACAATTTAAATACACACAAATAAAATTTATGAAATATTTTTGACAGCTCTGACATTTCTCTACCAAACATGAATTGACAAAGTCAAAGCCATCTAAATTTTAAATTATAAATAAAACTAACAATATCGCTACTAAACGGGCATTAAAAAAATTTATATATCTTTTAAAGGAATAAAAATAACAAAACAAGACTAACTGGACTGAAAAGATGAAGGTGGGGACTACATTTCCTGAAAGTTTCAGATTTTTATTTTTTCCTCAACATAATGATTTCTGAGGGCAAAATTGGCTAATTTTGAGAATGATCAATTTTCAATAATTTTTTTAATAAAGAAATTGATAGTCTAGAAACTTAAAATAATAGTTACGTTTTCTATTGTATAAGTACTTTATACCTGAAAAAAATGAACCTTCTAAATTCAGTAGAATAGGCACAGGAGCCAGACAAAAATCACAAAAATTGGCAAATTATCATGAATCTTTAGTGGTTTACCATTCTTTTATGAGATTAACTAATTGGATAATAATAATTTATATCGAAAACACACTTACTGGACAGTAAAACAAAATTAAAATTATTTCAATATTTGTTACAGAAAAAAAGTTCTGGCCCACTATAAGAGAGTAAGAAATTGACACTATTTCAGACTTCTAAGGGGTGCCAAATAAAATTAAAGGAACAAAAAATTAAAACGGCAACGGATTTTCATATTTGACACCTAAAAGATCATCCTCAAATTTTTTCATTACAATAAAAAATCATGCAGCGCACTTTTAAATTCATTTTTGGTGTTTTCATTTGGATTGACTCAAATATCTTTTCAATTGCTCAAGTACTAACGTATCCAGAACCGTATTCACAATAAAAAGGGGTCCTAAATTAATTTCTGTAAACTAGACGATCACGTGTTTTGGCCAAAGGTAGTTTTTTTGTGATTTTAATATTCTTTATTACTTATTAAAATGTGTGACCCCTTGCCGCGTTCGTTACAGTATGTTCTTATTACTGCATTGCATGCAAGGTCTTTCTAAGCAGTCTTCTTTAAATGGCTCACCGTTTACTTGTGGACAACACATTTCTTTTAGTACTTGGTATGGTAAGCTTTTTTCAATCATGTTACTTCTCTTAAGAGCCGTTATTAATAGTGTCATGTTAGTATGGGTTTTACACAAACAAGTATTTCAAATTTTTGATGTGGGAATTACCACCCAAAATGGACGAATTTTACAAAATTGTTGGTAAATTATTTTAGGAGCAGTTCAACTAGCTTTAAATTTTGCATAGATATTCTTCTATATTTGTCTTACCAACACCTCTCTTAAATGTAGCTTCTTCTTAACAAATTCTGGTACATAAACGTTCTGAAGGTCTTCTTTTACCATTTTGTTTTATTACGAGTAATACGAACTCATAAGTGATTAATCAATCGTTGTTGTTTAAGGACTTTTTATTTTAATTTTCTGTTGTCATGTTAAAGCTTAAGACGGTTTCTTTTAGCAATTTTTTTTCCATTAAAATTCGGCTTCTTGAACCTGCTGGTGTTTCATTTAGTTTACTTACATGCGCAGAAGAGGTGGAAGGCTACACAGGTTGACTATTTAGATCCTCACTTATCAGTACCACACTTACAGTAGGACTTTTTGGTGGCGTAGTAGCATCAATGAAATTCTTAGCTTGTTTTTGCAGTTTATTTTTATCCCGGTACTACTCTTCGGGCTCTTGTACTTAAATCGTTTATGTTTTTTGATTTCTCCACTGTCTTTTTTTTCCTTGTATTGGGCTCTTCGATTTCTATTTAAGTCATCATGTTTTTCTGGATCATTGTATATATTTGCTCTACCCTTTTGCATGAATAGCCTTTTTTGCCGCCTTCTTTTTTCAACTTTTTGTTCTTTTGTCAAGGTCTTCGACATATTACTAGCTGAAATAAAAATTCCACAGCTGTGACGTCCGTACTTTTATAATTTCCTATATATTTTGAACAAACTATAAAAGGTAAGGCAACCAAATTTTGTTTTTAAGTCATAACCCTTATTGTGCATTCTCAATTTTTTTTAACATAAAAAAATTGTAATTTTACCTTTTTTATTGGTCACACGAATGATGCACTTTACACACACATGTACTATTTCCGTAATAAGTCCAAAAAATAACTGAAAATAAATCATTTGACGGTTTGCTTAGCGTTTCTTTACCCCTACTTGCAACGAACGTTATGGCGTGATTATGGCTGCATACACTGTTGCCGGATTTTATGGTAACGATATGAGTTATTTATTATGTTCAGTGTCGCCTATATCAATTACTCGCTGTAATATTTTTTTCCTTTATTTGACTTTAGTAAAAGTAAGTAATATGTCCTACATTAATAGTTTTTGAGCTTTTTTATATAACAGTTCTTTAGTATTTTATACTTTGTTAAAATATTTTACTACAAAAAATATTTCGCAGAAAATTTTAGAATTACAACAAATGTTACGATTCTAGGAGAATGACCGATATTGCATAAACATTGAATTTAAATATCTGGTTTCTATTTGAGAACAATGAGTATTAAAAAAATCTTACATGGATGTCCATTGGTCCGGTATGCACTATTTTATTAAGAGATTCACCAAAGCAGATCTCATATGTAGGTATCACATTGTTTAAAAATATCTTCTAAATTGCACTTAAAATAGAGGCAAGCCCAAAATTTCTCATATATTCCACCTTTGTGTATCCTAAAGTCATTTGGTAAGCGATATCACAGTTGGGAAACATTGCTTCATAATCGGAATAAAATCTTTACAAGAATTAAAGCTTAAATTTGGGGCACATACATGCAGACTCCACAATATTTCAGCACCCAGAAATTGGAAGTAAAAGTTGTCAATGTCAAAGCTTGCTTTTGGATTGGGGCACCCACAGTCTTATCATTATTGTTAGTTTGTATTTTCTAAATCTTTTAACCTCTGTTTCTTCATAAACATTTAGGTTCTCGTTAATACCTTTATCCCATAATTATTTGATACAATTTCCATTCACATTGTTTTGTTACAAATTTTACAGTAAATTTTAAAAATATCATTAAAAACTTGAGCAAATATTTTTGACCATTCTGGATTTAACTTGTCATTACTCAGACCGGGTTAAATACTCTTTTTCTTTTTCGGCATGGTTAATTAAAAGTAAAAATTGTACTTAAGCTCCACGGTAAAACAAAACCAGTCTAGCTTTTATTATTTATTAATAACGGTACTTAAAACTACCTATTAATATGAAGCAACATGGCACAAATCATTGAAAAACACCACATATTGGTTTAGCAACATAAACCTAAGAATTTGCCGCATCTTCCGCACTTTATTTTACTAGAGCGGATTATTAATAATAAGCAGTATGCCCCTTTAAATAGAAAGCGGCTATATTATTTGTAAAAAATAATATTCGGCCGGTAATGAAAATAGAAACAATTTTCCCAAAAAATATTTTTCAAGAAAAATTAGTTAAATTCCCTGATTTTTTGTGAAATTCAGCAAATTTCCATTTAATTTCCCTGACATTTCCAGGTTTTTCCTGTTTTCCAGGTTTTTCCTGTATATTAGTGAACAATATTTATTTATAATTATATTCCCCAATAAATTATTATTTTCTATAGCAAAAATAATTTTTCAGGGCTGTCTTTCACAAAATTCATTTTAAGAAAAAATATAAAATTTGTTTTTTTTTAGTTTTTAAACTTGTTTTAAATTAACTAATTTTAACTTTATAAAGTATACTTAAATATATTTAAATTTAATTAAAAGTTGTCTTAGCTTAAGTAAAACTAATCTTATTAGCTAACATTTAACTTAAACTTAACTTAAGGGAGACTAATCTAATCCTAACTTAAACCTATAAAATAAAGACTAAAAGCTCATTCACATCCACTTAATAAGTGTAACTTAACTTAAGAAACCTACGTCTGTTAAGTTGTCTTTTTACATTAACTTACTACACGCAAAGAACGTAATATACAAGCACGCGCAATGTATACATCGATGTAGACTGGGTGCCTATCTATCTATAAGAGTGAAACAACATTAAGTGGATATGAATGAGCTTTAAGGGCGGGTTCTTTAATATAAAGTTAAACTTTAAATTAACAAACCTTTAATCAACGACCGTTTTTCAATATAAATTTTAACGGTAGTAAACTAAATATTGGTTAGCTATATATTTTGTCAGGTTGGCAGTAAATAAACGTGAATTTGTGTTTATTATAACCTGCAATTTTTGACGTTTGGCGGTGTAATTGCAGATTTGTTGTGTTATATATTTGTTATAAGTGGTATTTAAAAATGGAATCAGAGTAAAAAGTATGTTGTGCATTTTTATGAATAAGATTTATTGATTTACTAATTGATTCATTTACTGACGGACAAAAGGAAACGTACAAAAAACTTTAATGAAACTGGAGAATTAACTTTAATTAACTTGGTTAATAAATATAAACATATTCTTGAAAACAAATAAAGTGGAGTAGTTTCCTGGGTCAAAAAAAAGAATTTAATTTGTCCACTGGAACCCAAAGGGAAGCAGAAATATTAAAAACTAAATATTTAAATTTAAAAAAGAAAAGCAAAGAAAAGTTCTCTGCCGATAAAAAGGGGACAACATTAACAGGCGGAGGCCCATATATTTCCATTGAATTGTGGGACCATAAATTACTAAATTAACTAATAGTTATGACAACGATGCAGAACAGACTTCTATAGTTGCTGTGGATAACATGAAGGAGAATATGCCTGATCCAGAAATGGAACCAAATGTAAATCAATTTATAGAACCAGTAACTGAAAAGAACAAAAAAAATAACCGAGCACTTCTACCCATGACTGGGTATCTTATACCCCCACAAATTCGAAGGTGTCCAAGTCAAAGGATCAGCTCAAGACAAGACTATAGAAAAATACTTACATCCCAGCCGAAAAAAACTGGTGGATGAAAAAATTAGTTTCCTGCTAGCACAAAAAGCATGTTTGCAAAAGAGCATGAAATTAAAATGGAGGTAATGAAACTAGAACTACTAATAAAAGAAAAAGAACTAGAAAAACTTAAAAAAAAAGGTTAAATATTTATGAAAAAATATTATTTTTAAGAATCTGTTTTTATTGTTATTTCCATAATATTTGTTAAATATTATATATATTATATCTGTATTTTTGTTTTAATTATTTTTTCTAAAAATAAATTTGAAAGAAAAAAAATTATTTGTAACCTATATTAAATAATTATAAATATATTTTACTGTTAAAGATCTTGCATTATAATCTAGCAAAATGATGGTTTATTAATAAATGTCTTGTAACTTTATTTACTCTATTTCTTACTACCTGCTGTGGCAAGTTTCATTTATATTATTCATATTATTTATTGCTACATAGGAAACATTTTCATTGTTGTCACAAGCTATAGCTATATATATATTGTGTAGAATTACATTACCTACAACGATGGCCTGTGCTGTGTCAAGTTTTAACCTTATCCTAATAGCTAAAACTCCGTTTCCATACATCATAGCTTTTAACCACATTCCTGGTCCTGATCTGGAATTCGTTATACAGCTCTTCAGCTCTAATGTTTCCTTATTATTTTGAGGCATATAAGTATAACGGTCTCTTAAATTAACCAATGCAAGACTGACTCTTCGTATGGTTTTACATGCAGTGGTTTTTGACACACTACCCAAATCCCCAGCAACACTTAGAAAGCTTCCAGGCATAAAATCTCAATGCAATTAAAACTATGTGTTGGGCTCAAACAGTCATTTTTAAAAAAAAATATGATACCTATCAGCCGGATACTTTATTGTGTCTTCAATTTCTGCCACAATGTTTTGAACTACACATTTTCATAAACGAAATCTCCGAAAGAAATCAATTTCGTCGAATTAAAAAAAAAAGTATGATGTGTTATTTTATTCCACAAATTGCGTACGAAAGCTTTTTGTTGGGGCAGTGGAGAGCTGGGTTAAAAATTAAGTGGGTTCTTAAATAAAAAATATAAATGTAGATTCTTGTAATTTCCTGGATTGAAATGACCTGCTGTACTGCACAACATTGCATGTAATGAAAATGAGGATGTGCAGGCATCCCAGATGGCAGGCTATTAGTTTCGTGAGGTTGGCGGCAAAAAAATCGTAAGAAATCGTGAGATCTCGTATTTCGTCGATTTTATGGTGTAATTTGAAAAATCGCAGAAATTTTGTAGGGTTGAAAGGTTTTTATATGAAAAAAACAACTTTAATAATTTTTTGTTAATAGATTTTTTTTGATGGGGTGGCTACCACTTTTACTTTTTTGAAACTTTCCCCATGGTATTTTAGAAAAAATTATTAAATGTTTGTATAATATTAATCCATTGCTCTGTGTGTTTAATTAATCCTCCAAAAGAAAGTTGTTCCACCCAAGAAGGAATGTGGTATTGATGGTCGTTTTTAATTTTATATGTAAATTCACCCTTGTGTAATTTCTTTTTTATAAACGTGAACCAAATATCCAGTAATATATTCTATAGCATCTTCAGTCGTTTCCTCATTTGTATTTTCATTTAAACTTATAATTGAACTCTCTGATGAAAATTATGTTAATTGAGTTAAAATATTTGTCATTACTGAGCTCACTATATATTCCTTGTAAATTACCATTTATTTAAACTACTGAACTGTTTGATTAGATATTTATTATAGGTCTACCCGTTTACACAGACTAACTCGAATTGACTGCAAGCATCCAAAGCACGTTACATCCACAATCCACACAACAAGGTCTGTTCTTTAGCTTAAAAATTTAAACCAAAATCGGTGCAGTTGGGCGCACCTACGTCATCAAACACTTGCCGCCATCTTGTTTAAATTCCCGAAATAGAAATTTGATACCGGCCGTTATCTTACCGCGGGTAGTTTAAATTCCCCTAAATTATAGAAAATATGTGGAAAAAAATATAACCTCTAATCTGTCAAAATTAAAAATATATTTTTATGTATTTTACCAGTTAATTAATAAATTTAAACTTTTTTAAGGTTTTTACTTACCATTTTTTTTACTTTTTATACATACTCTTTCTTGTGATAATAATAATGATATATTTTATATTTACTTACCATTTTTTTTTACTTTTTATACGTACTCTTTCTTGTGAATTTACTTATAATAATAATGATATATTTTAAAATTGGACAGGTAAAATAAAATAAAACATAAGTATTAAATTTAATTTCATTAATTTTACCAGTTAATTTAACCTTTAACCGCTACCCTAAAAAATGTTTACACTGCCACTACTATCGGTATGAGATACCGCTATATATAATAATGGTATATTTTTATATTTATTTATTTTTTAAATAAAATTTTTAATTTTGTTATATCTTTCTTTATTAATATTCACAAAAATAACACAGAAAACTTGTTTAAATTAACAAAATCACAAAAAAATTGTTTAAGTTAACAAAATCAAAAAAATAACACAGAAAACTTTAAATTAACAAAATCAATACCTAAAATCTATAGATAAATCTTATTTTTCTCTTTTTTTTACACAATTATTACATATTTTTTTTGCATGCTCTAGACAAATTGGTTTATTACATTCACGACAAACAAAAAATTTCTTTCGCTTCAATTGATAAGGGCACAAGAAGCATGTTTTCTTAGTGTGCAGTCGCTCATCGTTTGGATCGTTTTCTTCAGGGTTTTCTTCTATTTGTAACAGGCATTCCATACGACTTCTTAGTTCTCTTGGTAATCTATAATTTAGAGTATATCGCCGTTGCATAAATGGAGTAATTAGACTTTTTGCCAGAATTTTGAGAAAATCGCAGCGATCTATGGGGTTGTAGTTCTTATAGCTTTGATACAAAATAAAGGCGTTGACTGAGCACATATTCATCATTTGTAGGAATACAGTCATGGGCCATCTGCGGGTCCTCCTACAAGAAGAATAATTTTCGCATTTTTTATCCAAACTATCTACACCTCCCTTGGTCATATTATAATCGGCAATCATTTCTGGCTTTCCCGTGTCTGGATCATCTTTTGGCGAATGGTGCATTAAAGAAATTAGCAATACAGCCCTATTTTTTTTTGGGAAATAAGAAAGCAGAGTAAGGTTATCTTTAAACCCATATAATTTACTACCGATTTCTTTTTTCTTGTCTGGCAAAAAAAAGGCAGGTATCATAGGCTTATTCTTTTTCAGTGTACCCAAAAATGTTAGTCCCCGTTTTTGTAGTTCTGTTACCAATTGTAAACTGCTGAACCAATTATCTGCTGTCACGTTCCTATTGCTTTTTTCTATAGGTTTTACTAATCTTACTACAGACTGAGTGGGAACTTGCAATTTTTTTTCCTCTGCTGATAATCCATGGCTATCCGAGCCTTTTCCACAATAAATGTATGCATTAAACAAATAATTATTTCTGGCATCTGTAAGGCACATAATTTTTATGCCGTATTTTGCAGGCTTTTTTGGCATGTACATTACAAATCCGCATCGGCCTCTAAAACCCACCAGGCTTTCATCTACGCAAACATATGCCCCTATACAAAAGTTTCTTTGGGAATTATCAATAAAAGTTTTAAAAAGACCTGAAATGGCTGCAGATCTATCTTCTTTTGTTCTGTCTTTTCTACTCATGTCATTATCAAATCTCAGTGCTATCAATAAAGTCTCAAATCTTCTCCTTGGCATTGTGCATGTAAATACATCTCTTCCAGTGCCATCAGTAGAAAACAAACCTTCTAGACTCTCTCTTCCTGCCTTAAAAACTTCGGTGTAAATAAGCAATCCCAAAAAAGCTTTCATTTCTACATCATCTACATCTTTCAATGTAGAATGATCTGGATTTTTGTACTTTGTGCGGCATTGAAAAAGTTTACGGTTTGTAGCCCAAATAACTTCATGCAGCATGTCCTCGGTAAAAAGTAAGTCCCATACTTGTATAGGGCTTGCATTTTCACCCAATGCTTTTGCAGGACCAAGTTATGACTTCTTGTTCTAGAATTAGCTGGAGGGGGTTGCTTTGACCTAAAACAACAAGAAAGTAAATTACTGCTATATTAAAAAATGCCTTTATTTCGCCAAAAATACTAAAAAAAATTTTTACTACCATTCAGTAGGATTAGTCTTCTCGCGTCCGAAAAAAAAATCTTGTCTTCTTAAATTTTGTTCAGGTTCGTTATTTTCTTCCTCTTGTTCCTCTGAGTCTTCATTTCCAGATTGCTCTGAATCTGTATCATGCTCACTTTCAGCAACGTAACTCTCATCCTCATCGCTTATCAAATTATTGTCTTCCTCTAGTTGATTCAAGCACCACTCCTCAAATTTTGGGTCGTCCGGATGCATAGAAAATGACCCCAGCCACTGTGACATTTTATGAAAGTAAAACCCTAAAAAAATCAAAAAATAAACAACAAACACAATAAAAAATATGTAACACTTACCCTACTTGCCGGTATGTGATACCGCTGCTGCGCGCTGTCGCAAAAAATCGTTTAAATCTTACACGTCTTACTGCACAGAGCGCTGCCACTCTACTAACGCACGCATTAACTTGGCCTTGAAAGGTACTAAGAATCTTAGCGTCAACAAATTCGTATTATTAAAAATTACGGAGAAAAATTTAACAGTAGCAGTATGAGGTACCGCTTGGTAGCGGTTAATGGTTAAACTTTTTTAAGGTTTTTATTTACCTTTTTTTACTTTTTATAGGTACTCTTTTTGTGAATTTACTTATAATAATAATATTTTGAAATTGAACAGGTAACATAAAAGATAAGTATTAATTTTAAATCTCCAATTTTATTTAACCACGCACAAAAAAATTGCAACCCAGGGAAATAATAATAATTCATAACTAGTAATTTAAAATCCCTGGCGATCGCGAGGATCTCGAGATCCTGTATTTATCCTGTAGTCTAAATTGAAGAAATTTTCACCATTGTGTTTGTAAATATAATACCTAGCAGAAAATTATAAAATACTTAATATATATTTTTTAATGCTCATTGTCTATTTTATCAAAAAAATGATCTATCTTTTAGAATTATAAATAAAGAAGAAAATTCTCACTTCTAATATAAGGTTGATTTTGAGACAGAAGGTAAAAGAAAGACTAGGTAAGCAGATTTTGACATGATATGATTTTCAAGGTTTTTAGATGTTCTGTGGTTAAAATCTGTACATTTTATTATGTTAAGGTTTGTAACTTTGATGCTCAATACAGGATGTCTTATTTTTACCTCAAAAATTTAAGTGTCTCATTTTTACCCCCCTTGACCCTAGTAAAATAATAAACAAAATAGCCAGAAAACCCTGTTAAATAGTAATAACGTTTTTTTGCGACACAATTGCAAAGTTTTCTATTAGCCTTTGTAATATAGCACTGCTCTTTGTTTTTGTTGTTCAACCTTCTTACTCTAAAGTAAGTAAAGCATCTAGCCATGCACATCAAAACTTCCATAGGGACATTAACAAGAATATTTAAGGTGTTTAATGCAAGTGCAGTGAATATTTTGGGTTGCTTATTAAGAAAGTCCCCATGTAATTTGCTAAATTCGCTAGCCATACATTCTCCTGCATGCAGTAACTGATTGCTTGGTCTTGAAAGATTTCCTCTTGATATAATGTCAATCCAATCTGAACTGTGATTGGAAGATTGACCTTTTAAATGGGGATACTTTTTTTGAAACCTAAAGGCAGCATACCCACAGACATATTTGG